TGAAAAACACGGACATGAAAAAAAGAATAAAGGAAAAGAAACCAAACACAGAAGAGCAAACACAGACAAACATAAACAACAGCAAGAATATAGACAATGCAACATAATACAGAACAACAAAGAAACAACCCAACAGCATAAGAACCCACACAACAATAGACCCAACAAACACATTTAACCTGACCATCATAAGACACCCACAAAAAGAACGCAGGCAACACAAGAACCCAACAACACGAGCTGAGACCAAAAGGACCAAAGATGTGATGATACTAAAAGAGCTCACAGCTTCTAAAAACAGATAACAGCAATACAAAGCACAAAAGGAATAAACATGATCGATATGTGACAACCTCAGCATAGAACGATGTTTCTCGTGATCTTCAGTGAACTTACTTGAACACTTCCTTGCAATCGTAAACGATTTTCTTTTGTTCCACATAATTTTTTAAATTCTTGAGGGATTTGTCGTTGCACTGCGTCCTAAATAAAAGAAATGCAGGGAGGACACAGAACAGCATATGGTTTATTATGTTTACCAATTTGTCTTTGTACTTATTTTAAGTCAGCTGATGACAACTACAGCCAAACACAGGCCTATTTAGTTTCAAAGCGATGTGGCAAAAGTCTGCCATAAGAAATAAAAATAAAATCGTACCCTTCCTTCTCAACAGCCAGAATAACAGCCAGTTTCGTCACTCTGGGATGTTCAAGATATGGTACCTCAGAATTACTTAAGAAACTAATAACATAAGAGAAACATTGAGAAAGAATAAAAGAAGTCAGGTTAACAGGGGCCGTTACATCAGGCAGCATTTAAAACGTACAAGTAAAGGGCTGAGATATTTTAAAACTTTGTAATACTTTGTCTTTTTCATCTCAATCAATCAATCAGACTTTATTTGTATAGCACTTTTTGATACAATACAAATGTAACATGAAGTGCTCTCCATACTCTGGGGGGGGGGGGGGTTACAGACTTGTGACAATAATATTTTCAAATATGTCAGTTTAGATGTTATTTATCACTGCATATTGAAATATGTGTTATTTTTTTATTCCAATCTTTCAATTTAACAGAACAACAAACACCCCTTCAGCCAATCAGAATAGATCAGCAGCTGTGAGTGACACTGAGATAACAGAAAGTTGCTGTACCACTAAAAATGATTTTGAAGATTATGTGCAATATTTTGAACATACATATAGCAGAAGTCAAGTATAAGTTAAAACCCCTGTGCTAGCATAGAGCAACAGCTGGGAGAAACTTAACATACTATACTGAAAGTTTGATGCAATATTAATGATTTACTTGCTGCCATCAGTTGATCTAATGCTCATATTTAATGCACTGTGCAGGTGTCATGTCAAACATCACAGCATTTTTTGGTTATCATTGAGGAGTTCATAAAACTGTCCACATTTCAAGTGTAGTGCTGCTGCCTACCTGTCAATATCGTATGGGTCTGTCACATCTCCATTCAGCAGCACTTTGACTTCTTTACAGGCATGTTGTGTATACTACAGCAGACATAAGAACAAGTTATTAATTATTTATTTCATACAATGGTTGATCTATCCATCCATCCATCCATCCATCAACCAATCAACTAATCAACCAATCATACTTCATTATCTGTCAGGTTTCTGCAGCTGGGTTCAGTTGTGTTTTAAAGACACAGGTATTTGACAGAAAAGTGTTTGAGAAATTAAGAACAAGTAAGTTCAGTCAGGAAGACTATAACTGCCTTCATGATCGGGTATATCTCTCATTCATCTCTTTTTGAACGCTCACTCATGTTTCCGCTGTCATTTTTGGCCTGTCAATGGGTAATCGGCTGTCTCGTCAGCGGTACTCATCTAACCAATCACATGGTGTTCCTCCCTGATTTTCAACCTATCATCGTTCTGCTCCCCTTTTAAATATGATTCTTTCTTTGCATTAGTTCCTTCATGCTGATGTTTCGAGCGCCCCTCCACCTCTCCATCCCCGCCAGTCTTCACAGACTCATCATCCATCAATTCGTCACCCATCCGGTCTCATCAAGTCATCAGCTTCATCACCACCAGGTCTGGACTCTATGGGGGATTTATTCTGTCAATGCTCAGAATTGTCATTCTCCAAACACATCACCCTACCCATAGAGTCCAAGCGCCAAAGTATTTCTGTCAAGTCACATTTCCATGTTATTGTAATAAATCATTTCTTAGTTTACTTGTCTCTCCTGATTGAACTATATCTAGTTCCCTTGAGGCAAAGTGTTTTCTGTTTTCGTACATCTCACTGACTGAATTAATGTAAGTGCTGAAAAACGAGTACTTTCTCGCTGGGTACTTACCCTGATGGAGGCCGTTGTCCAAAATGAAATAAAAGGGTTGATATCGGTTGCCACACACGTGTCATCAGTGAAAGTTTCTAGAATAAAAGACAATAAGTGTTTGTGTGATAGTTTACAGAGTTTAGACTTTAAAAAGATACAACTGACTGTGAGAGATATCAGGAATGACAAAGTGTCTTTTTATCTGTATTCAATTCAATTCAAGTTCATTTGTATCGCACTTTTCATACAAATTTAAACTCAATGTGCTTTACAGAAGACACAAATAAACCAACACAATATAAATGATCACAAATAGATTCAACAGCACATTTGTAAAGGTCACATATTATGTAAAACACTTAACCATGCTGTTCTCAGACTAAAAATGTGTCTCTAGTCTGTTTACAAAAAGTCCATCTTCCCCGTCTTTTGCCTGCTCCACTTTTCAGAAAATGTGTGATCAAACAGGCCGTTCGGAGATTTTCTAACCCCTCCCCCAGGTGGGTGACACTTCCACAGCTCGATGTTTGTTCTGCCCTCTGAGTCTGCCTTTCTACCATAAACAATCAGGCATAGTGCAAGAAAGCCAGAGCCGCCTTAGCCCTTCCAGAGAGGGGGCGTGGTCAGACACAGCTCATTTACATTTAAAGGTACAGACACAGAAACAGCCTGTTCTGAGCAGGGCTGAAATAGAGGGGTTTATAGGCATGATCAAATACAGGATCAGAGTGGATTTAGAACAAGAAACTTCACAGACATTTTTTTGGGAGCTAAAACGTATGAAAAGGAGAATAATATCTGACCTTTAAATCCAAAACACATTTATAAAAGGAACCTGTACCATCCCATACAACAGATACACACATTCACCAACTATACATATGTACACACTCTCTCAAACACACTCACACACACAAAATAAACGAGCAGCCAAAGGCGGTAGAAAAGTAATGTTTTAATATAACTTAAAGTTTCTACAGACCTCACATCAGCGGGTAGTTTGTTCCACTGATTGGCTAAATGTACCTTCACCAGATTTTGACTTCAGGTAAATTCAGCACGCAGAAATTTGGTCATGTTTAGCCGATACTACACTGAACTGTTTCTGATTTAAAGGCAACGTCTTAATGTCACTATGACTAATGACTTACTCGGGCTGTTCTTCTTCCCACACCAGATCAAACCGTCCAGCACGTATCCCAACATAGTGTGTACAATGGGGACGTAGCATTTTCCTTTTTCAACCAACTTGAGCAAATGACCTGTTTTGCTCCACAGCAGTGACTAACCCCAAAAGAGATGATATGCCGTTGTTCAGTATACACATCTGCTTTAATTTAAGAATAAGGATGTTACTCAGACAGATGTGTGGTTAGGGATGTTTACTTTTTCGCATGGATACTTGAAGGGGAACTCATCAAAGAGATCGTTGTATTTGTCAGGAGTGACAGTATCCGGGTCCTTCCCTACATAGGCTTTTTCAAAGATAACCCATGCTTTTTCACAGCTGAAAAATAAATGTTATTACTTAGTACAGGAAAAGTTGTTTACACTTTTTTATATATTATGAATATGATAGCAAACAACATGTTTTTACTCAACCCAGATGTTAATTCAAGTAGACTAAAAATTCAAAGAGACTTACATTTCTTTTTTCTCTTTAAACTCCGAGCACTTCCTCATGAACGTATCTTCGAACTTTTCAGGAATCAGCAGTACCGATGGAACGAGGACAACCACGACAACCACAAAGGTGATAGCGCCATCGATGGACAAGACCTTTCTAGACACCATTTTCAAGCTTCTTCTTGAGAATTAAGCTCTGTGAAAGTTTTCATCTCACAGAGCGTTTTATATAGCCAGTCCCGATGTCTTACCATTGGTTTGGGATCTAACCCTGCCCAAGAATGGTTCTTCCCTAATAAGGATGTGTTTGGTTATCAGGGAGCAACGGCCCACATTAATTGTGTCTGAGAGACGAGGTTGACATGAGGCAAATGTGACCTCAGGTATAGTAGAAAGTTCAACAGGACACTTACAAATAATGTGGCTTTTCTTAGTCAGACACAAAAGGTCTGTGTGTGTAAATGTATCATTTGAATACTTCACACTTCATATTCTTATGTCAATAAAAACGCACAACTGATATTCAAATAGTCACGAGCCTAGCTGCAGTTACGTGATGGATTAAGTTGAATTTGAATTACAATAAAAGAGATATCATTGTCAGAGTGTCATTTTAGGTTAATCATTATCCCTGAACATAATGTAATGCAGCTGTTAACTTCATCCTCTCATTAAGGTAGTGACCGTTTTAGATAATGACAGCGGGAGGACATGTATGCATGCGCATGAGTCCTTAAATGCAGAGAAGGCCAAAAGCTATATGAAAAGCTTCTGGCCTGCACGATGGTGCAGTGGTTTGGGTTGTTGCCTCACTGCTAGGAAATTCCTGGTTCAAATCCCCTGTCAAGCAGTGTCTTTTTGTGTGGAGGGTTGCATGTTCTCAACGTGCATGGGTGTGTATAACAGCCACACGCACATTAATCAGACAGTTGTGTGATTATGGATGTTTACTTTGTCACATTGATGTTTGAAGGGGGTTTCAGCAAAGAGTGGTTCATAGTCTTTCTCCAAAACACCACAATAATCCTTTCTTACATAGGCTTGTTCAAAGTTAGTCCAAACGTTGTCACAGCTGGAAAATAATGCATATGAAGAGTTGATCAGACAAATCATAAAACCATAACAAAAAGCTTCATGAATGTCGCCTTGAATTGAGCTGTACAGTACGAGGAGTCAGCAGTACCAAAGGAACAACCACAATCCAGATCCCAACAACCCCACCAAAGACAGCAGCACTGATGCAAATGTTCCTTGTCGACATCATGTTTAAGCTCCTTTGATAAAATAATAAACTCTGGAAGTTCTCTTCTCATAGAGCTTTTTGTATTAGTGCTCCTATTGAGAACTCTAAGACGTTTTATGATGCAACAGTCCAAGTCCAGATGTCGCCCTTAAGCACCAGCATAAAACCAAACCAACCACTAGGCCACCAGCGCCTCATGGCTGGCCTTTTTGAGTGTGTAGCACCAGACACTCCTCAGGAAGCACAGGAAGGATGAATACTGGAAGCCTCAAAAGGTAGTTTCAGCTCCATGTATTTTACTTTCAATCACACAAAGGTTACCTCTTAACATCCCTCCCACGGGACAGCGAGCTCTGCCACGACAACTGTCAAGGCTGGACCACTGGACAACGTGAAGAAGTTGAAGTGACTTGATTGGGGGAACTTTTGCTGCCAATCAGCCGCATAAGGTAAAGCAACACAGTGATCTTTTTTTCCTAATTTTCATCACTGACAATCAATTTCATAAGACACTTTAATTTAAATATTTCAATGCCACAAAATCAGAAGTGCGATCATCAGTTGAACAGTCAAAGCAAGAATGATTTATAAGAAAAGAAAGAGAAATATATATTTTAAAAAGATTTTGAGACATACATGGATCGTGAACCCCCAAAAACTGAATCTACAAGACATATAATAGCACTTTAATACATTTTGTAGGAATGAAAAAACGATTTAATTACATTTCTTTTAAGCTGCATCATATTGTTTTTGGCTAACATTGTAGTTTGACATTTAGGCCTTCACCAGCAGGCTCCACATGGCGTGTTGTCTTCTATGCACGTCTCCACACGTGATCTACAGTGAAACGAGATGTACTGAATGAATACACAAAATAACATGATGTCTTTTTAACACCAGCAGTATTGGACAATGTCTTATTATTCGTACGTACTTAGTCACTGCTTTGCAGGCACAACCTATTCTTTGATCCAGGTCCTTCCTTAAAGTCCCGAGGGAATCACAGGTACAGGCCCTGAAAAAAAGAAACTGGACTGATAACTATACACCTATTAAATGCCAAGCAAAAACTTTACAGGACATCCAGACAGTTATACAATTATACTCTACAGCATGAAGGCAAACAACTGTTTTAAAGAAATGAACTCGTACCTAATCTCCTCAGTGACCAGAACCACAGTGAGGTTCTTTACTCTGGGTGGTTGAAGATTTGGAACCTCTACACCTCCAAAGAAACTAAAAGTAAAATCAAAAAAGCAAAAGCAAGCTCATCAAATCAGAGCTCTCACATGAAGCAGCTTAATGTTCGAGTAAAGAGTGGAGAAACTTTATTTTATTTTTTTCACTGAAGGGTGGGGTACACATGTTGAGTGTAGTGCAGCTCACCTGTTAGAATCGTATGGCTCTTTTCTCTCACCATCAAGCATTACTGATGCTCCCTCACAGGCATATTGTGCAAACTACACACACATACACACACCGTCATACATGTCACTAACCAAATCAGTGTATTTTTGGTTCAAACTATTGATTTTTCTTCTGGATACTTACCCTGGTTGAGGCTATTTTCCAGAATGAGCTAACAGGGTTGGGCAGGCAGTCCTCACAATTCTCAGTGAATGTTTCTGGATTAACAAAGACATGAACACACAAAGAACACATTGATGAATGTTACTTTTTCACAATTTAGAGTCACAGTTCACTTTGTCAGAAGCATGTAGCTGAGCTAATTATTACAATTGCCATCATTTGACATTTTCGGCCCATATTTGCAGGTAATTTGATATTTTAATGACAATACTGATGTGTTCTTGTCAGGTTCTTGTTAAGTTTTTCACTGGGACTGGTAGCCCATGTTGTGTTTAACATGAGCGCCCTCTGGTGGAGCCCCTGCAGACTTAAGTGGTGAGCCCTGTTAATTGTTGCCGGTCTCAGCTGTAAGTTGTCCCCATGGTAACGTGATTTGTAAATTATGCTCCGCAAAAATACGACACAGTAATTTCGTTTTTTCTTGGTTTAAGTGCTTTTTATCTTCGTGGTAAGTTGAGGACAGTCTATGAATTTAATATCAAACAGTTTTGTGACTTTTGTACGGATTTTTTGAACAGTAATCTTGTCTCAACTTGTTGTAAAGCTATGATAGCTTCGTCATTAACTTACTAACCGTTAGATAACAGTTAGCATTATGTTTTAGCCATTTCTGTAGCTTGCTTTATTTATTTTTATTTTATTTTATACAAAAATTGGCTGTGAGAGACTCAATATATGTAGGCTATGTTGGTGTCAAGTACATTTACGTTTTAATACATTTAAATATAAACTGGCCAATTTGCACTGTCGTGTTCCTGTGCAATATCTGCAGCTTATTACTTGAAAGCGTGTTGGAGCCAAATGTGAATATTTACGCCTGGTTTATCACACAATACAATAGGAAGTAGACTACACAGCCACTACACAATCAATGGAGGAGACAATACAGTTCTTGTGTAAAGATTGGCTTTAAACATTTGGATGAATGATGTATTTATCCGTGTATTTGTGTGGGGTTGATGCATGCAAGTTTTTGTCTTTTTAGCTGCTACACTAATCTGTTTCCATTTTTAAGGCTATATGCCATACACTGTGACTCATGAATCTTACCATTGTTTCCCTTTTCCCCACACCAGCTCAGTCCATTCAGCACATATCCCAACAAAGTGTCCTCCAAGGTGAAGAAGCAATCTCTCTTCTTGGTGAACTTATGGACCAAATCCTTCGTTTTGCTCCAGAACATCGTCTAATACCAGAAGAGTTGATGTGACGTCGGTAAATATGTATACACATAAGAATCTGCTTTAATTAATGTGATTAAGGCTGATCATATGTTTACTTTGCCACATGGATGCTTGAAGGGGGTCTCAGCCAAGAGTTGATCATAGTTTTGGTCAGAAAAGTTACATTTCTCCTTTCCTACGTAGGCCAGTTCAAAGGTAGTCCAAATAGTTTCACAGCTGAAAAATAAATGTAAATAAATACCGTAGTCGATTTCATCAACAAAATAGTGTTAACAATACTGAGGTTACAGAGGTTAACAATACTGAGGTTACTAAAACCACTTTTTTCAACTATAAACTTCTGTATCTGAGTATTAAGTAGTGTTATGGATCAATCCAAGTCCCAATCTCAACATTTGAGTACAAAGTATTTAAATTTTAAATATTGTGTTAGAAATGTGCGGAGTGTCTGCCCTTCCGTTTGAAAAATTATATTTTTAATTCGGCTTTGTGGAGTACAGTATTACGTGGGAGTGAATTACTACGTCACCAAACCTATAAAAGCCTCGTCACCCGACTCGGCGAACAGTGGGGAGTCAAGTGTGTGTGTGTGTATTTGTGTGTGTGGGGCAAACATTGTATCATGTTGCGGCAGATAACGGCGCAAAAGGAGTGAGTGGGCGAGTTTACCCCCGTGCCCTGCTTATTCTGCTCCGGTCCCCGGCATCATAACGTGCCTCACTGCCTCTCGCTAGTGATGTGTAGTTCGTGAACGATTCGTTCAAAACGAACAAATCATCTGGGTGAACGACCTGAACTGAATCAGTTACTGAAAAGAGTCGTTCATTTCTCAACTTCAGTTGCGCTCTCCTCTCTCCCGTCTCGTGTCTCTCTCTCTCCAGACCGTAAGAGTCGCTCAAAGCCCGCCCTCCCTCTCCTTTCATGTCAGTGATACGTACTGACTGAACCAACAGGACGGAATCGGTCGGGAGCTCTTTGTCACAAAAGCCCGCCCCTACTTCTCCCTCTCATGTCTCCAAAATTGAGAAAGTAGCAAATATATTATTTAACATTCAGGTGTCGCGAAAATGTATGTGCTTTTTATAGCTGCTGTCAGTTTACAAACGGCTTTTATATCCAACTTAATTTCACTCAGCTGACTGTTTTAACATCTACTAACGACCGTGTTTCAGTCAGTACAGTGTGTGTGTGTGTGACTGAGGCTGTTGACTCGATCTTTCACGTTCAGTCAGTGTTTCGTTCACTGAACGTACTGAGAGGAAGAGAGTGACTCAGAGGCGGAGCTCTTGTTCAGTTAGTTCATTAAACGAACTGAACGAGAGCTCCGCTGTGAATCACTGAACGAACT